GGCAGGGTCCGCCTTGCTGTGGGGCGGCCCCGAGACCCCGGCGGGTACGCGCGGGCGGGCGCCCGGGACGCCGCGGTGGGGGAGGGGCCGCGCCGCCGGTAATTGTATCTTCTCCGTCCCTCCCGGGCTCGCGGGCGTTCCCGCAGGCTGGCGGTAAGGCTGGAAAGGACTCCGGAAAGGCCAAGACAAAGGCGGTTTCCCGCTCGCAGCGAGCCGGCTTGCAGGTAGGTAGTGTTGCTGCAGTGTGGGAACCGCGGCCTTTATCCTTACACCCCCTTTCTTGTTGATCTGAGCTCTAGATGGGCGGTTCATCTTTTGCGTGGGTGATGCGTCGCAGGCCGCTACGTTGAATATTGGGGTGGGGGGGCATCGATCACGTGTGCTGCTGCCGGGGTGCCTTGCTCTGCACCACTGTTCTTCGCCTTGGCGCGCACAGAATTTCCCATTCTTTGAATCTCATACCTTTGTGCGTTTCTGTTTGTGTGCATAAAATCAAGTTCCCTGTGGGCCGTATTCATCGACACCTGAAATCTAGGACAACCAGTCACGGACGTGTGGGCGCGACTGCCGCTGTGTACAGCGCAGCCATCCTGGAGTACCTCACCGCAGAGGTAAATGGGTTGTACGCCTGTGATCTGGAAAAGGTTTGAGGGGAGGGGGAAAGCCGGGAGTGGGAAGGAGGAAAGTGATGCAAGAAAACTCCCAGGCCCTGAGCGAGGAGACGGAGAGAACGCTAGAGGGAGCTAGTGCTCAGTAAGGGTCCCTGATCTGGAGTTCAGCTGCTCGGAAATGCAATTGGAATTGCGTCCTCAGCCAATTGCTTTTGCATAATTTTGTCATTCAAGTAGTGGGGCGGGGGATGTGACGGTGACAACGGTTGGGAGATTTACACCGCTGAGGGTTGGGTTGGCTTCGTGGATATCGGTTGAAGGAAAGTTGGAAGGTTGATTAGATTTTGCATTTTAGGTACTTGAATTGGCAGGAAATGCATCAAAAGACTTAAAGGTAAAGCGTATTACTCCTCGTCACTTGCAACTTGCCATTCGCGGAGATGAAGAATTGGACTCTCTCATCAAGGCTACAATTGCTGGTGGTGGTATGTCATCATTAAAGTTTTTTTTTGGTCTTTTTGAGACAGGGTCTCCTTGTAGCCCCAGCTGTCCTGGAACTCACTATGTAGACCAGGCTGGCCTTGAACTCGCAGAGATCCTCCTGACTGCCTCCCGAGTGCTGGGATTAAAGGCGTGTGCCACCACACCCGGCCTGAAATTCTTGTAGCAAAAAGGAAATTTAAATATGTTTTTATTCATGCAGTCAGTATAGTGGTTTCCTGTGATTTGGCTTATGTAACTCAGCTTTTAAACTGGATATTTGAACTTAACATTTTCCAAGTTAATAGAGGAAAGAAAGCTTTGATTTCATGTACTGTTTTTAAAATGCACATTCAAAAAAATTAATCCCTGTCACTCTCCTAGGTGTGATCCCACACATCCACAAATCTCTGATTGGGAAGAAAGGACAACAGAAGACTGTCTAAGGATGCCTGGATTTCATGTTATCTCAGGACTCTAAATATTCTTAACAGCTGTCCAGTGTTGGTGATTCCAGTGGACTGTATCTCTGTGAAAAACACAATTTTGCCTTTTTGTAATTCTATTTGAGCAAGTTGGAGGCTTAATTAGCTTTCCAACCAACCAAATTTCTGCATTCGAGTCTTAACCATATTTAAGTGTTACTGTGGCTTCAAAGAAGCTATTGATTCTGAAGTAGTGGGTTTTGATTGAGTTGACTGTTTTTAAAAAAACTGTTTGGATTTTAATTGTGATGCAGAAGTTATAGTAACAAACATTTGGTTTTGTACAGACATTATTTCCACTCTGGTGGATAAGCTCAATAAAGGTCATATCCCAAACTAGTTTTTAAACTTGCTTGATTGTAATTGGAACTTGACTCTTGAAGATCTCATTCAGCAAAAACTAGGTACATTCTTTTCCTTGGTCGTTGAAACAATCTGTAGATCAAATCAGAGCAACTTAGAGATTAAAAAGCTTTGGTAGAAGCTGCAGTAGGTGGTTGTTTCTTAGACTCAGTTTGTCCATTGTCCACACTTGAGTGTCAGAGGCACTCAACACTATTGAAGTGGCACTCCTGGGCTTTGTAGCTAAGCTGCTCCACAGAATAAACTCATAAGGTAATACCACTATCAACTGGCCCATTCACTCTATGAAGCCTCACATGCTAGTTAGTGGGGATGCACTATTCCTATTTCATAGAATCAGCATTTTTTTTTTTTTTAAACACACTGAGTTAAGGTGCCTGCTTAGCTAGTGACATAATGGTTATGTAAAAATGTTGAGGCTGGGTACACTGAGTCAGGGGAAGGTTATTTAAGAACTTCAAAAATTTGAGTGTAGACATGAAAACATTGGGTGACCCTTTTCCCATGAGACGTAGGTACTTCCCAGAGGTAGTGTGTGAGTGCAGGAGGTATTACATAATTCGACATATAAGTGACAAAACAATTCAGTCTAGCTTTTCAGGATTACAGCAGATTCAACTCAGCCTTCACCAAAACAACAGATCCTGTAGAATAGGACAGGACAGCACCCCTGGGGTTAGGGTCCAGCGCCACAGTCTCCTTGCTGCCCCTCACCCCCCACCCCCGTTTCCCACGGCGGGGGGGCCCAGAGGCGGGGCGTCAAGTCCCTGGGAATTTCACTGAAAAGGAGAGCCCCTGTCCCCACACAGGTAGCGCGGAAGGCAGGTACCGAGCCGCGCCCCAAGGTCAGGGGTTCGGCCTCCTTCCCCAGGCCCGCGGCCTCCCCTCGGCGTCTGGCCGCGCCCCCTGCCGGTGGGATGGCTGGGATCCGCGCGGGCCACCCGCTCCCTGCCTGCACTCGGTCCGGAGCTTGACAGGCCGGGAGCGGAGAGGCTGGTGCCGCAGGACCGCGGGGGGCGGGGAGGCCGCCGTGAGGAGGCGGAGCTGCGAGGCCGCCTGTCCCCGGGCCGTCGGTCCCTGCTCCTCCCCGCTCCGCGCGCCCCCACCCGGGCCGCTCGCCTCCTCCGCGGCGGGCTCCCCTCGCAGCTGCGCGGCCGCAGGAGACCGAGGCAGGGCGAGCCATGGAGGGGAACCGCGACGAGGCGGAGAAATGCGTGGAGATCGCCCGGGAGGCCCTGAGCGCCGGCAACCGCGAGAAGGCCCAGCGCTTCCTGCAGAAGGCCGAGAAGCTCTACCCGCTGCCCGCGGCCCGCGGTGAGACTCGGGCCTCGGCCCCGCGCCCGCCCCCGCCCCCGCCCCCACCCTGGCCCACCGGACTCGCTGCCCACTGCTCACCAGCTGCGGGCGAGCGGGCCTGTCCTCCCAGTGGAGACCCGGGCTGGGGCTCTGTGTGGGTGCTTGGTTGTGTTGTCCCTTCCTCCGCATCCTCATCCCCAAATCTTCCTAGGCCCCTAGTGAAGTGGGAGCCGGGAACTCTAGTGGCCAGTCTCCCGTGTCTCCATCCATGGGTTCAGTAGAAAACTGTTCCCAAAGCAGGTATCTTCGAATACCTTAGATGACACTGCTTTTCCCTAGGAGGAGTTCCTTTACAAGAGCGCACCACTTCTGACAAGAATGATGAGTTCTTTATTGATTTGTTAAATAGTATCGGATTTGATACAACCTTAAGTGCCCACAAATGAGGTAAATGTAAGGAGCAGGCTACTGGACTGACTTACCGGAGTTGAATTCACCTTATTCATTGCACTCTCTAGGCTTCAAGGTAATATGACCAACATGGGAACACTTGCAAAGTGCCGCTGCTGTGCCTAGCGTTGTGTAAACCCTCTTCATTCCTCAGAAGAGTCTGTGTTGAGGTGCAGGATTTGTTTGACCAGGTTTAACCATATGAAGACTGGTAAATGAATGAGTGATTGAATGAGTGAATGAAAACACCTTACCCAAGGTCACAGAATAAATAACAAAGTCAGAATAGTAGCTGTTTTTATATCCAAAAGGCCCTTAAACACTTTTACCGTGTTGCCTTGCCAAAAGGAGTTGTTTGTGGTTTAAAGTATTTCCGGGTTAAGGGCTGGAGAGACATCTCAGTGGTTAAGAGTTCTGGTAGCTCTTGCAGAGGACCAGGGTTGGGTTCCCAGCACCCACATGGCGATTAAGAACCTTCTCTAACTTCTTAAATTCCAGTTCCTGGGGATCTGACACCCTCTTCTGGCCTCTATGGGCATTGCATGCCCATGGTATATGCACTCACACATAAAATAAAAATTAAAGATCTGAGAGATTTAATTTAAAAAATAAAATAATAAAGTATTTCCAGGTTAAGAGAGTTAAAAGGAAACAATAAATAGGCTCTCTGTTTTACTTTATTGTTGTTTTCTTAACTTTTCTATGTTGTTGAAGCCCTCTATCTCTGTTTCACTTTATCTTATCTGTTAGTCTTGAACACCGTATTAGAACAGGAAAGGGTAATGAAAGAAAATTTAATTTTTAAATTGTAAAAAAATGCAATATAAAATCTGCGCTCTTAATCATCTTTAGATGGACAGTTTAGAAATGTTAAGTATATTCACATTGTTGTGCTAGGAACTCTGCGCTTTCTCATCTCATGCTCCTGAACTGTACCAGTTAAACAGCTCTCTTTACACTGTTTTCCCGGTGTCTGTCAGCCACCATTCTATTTTCAGTTTTTTATAAATTTTACTAATTAGGTACCTGATCTAAGTGAGATCATACAGAGTATGTCTGTGTGACTGCCTTAATTCACTTAATAATATCCTCAAATTTTAGCCCTATTGCAGCATATGACAGATTTCATTTATTTTATACACACATGCAGTGTAGTGAATTTTGTGCATACACATACGAACATATCACAGGTTTTGATTGAGTGTGTATGTGTGTGTGTGTGTGTGGAGGGGTGGGTGGTTGGAGTGCTAGGGTGCATACATGGTGGAGGTCAGAAGACAGCTTTCGAGAGTTGGTTCTCTCCTTCCACCATGTGGCTTCTAGGGGTTGAACTCAGGTCATCAGGCTTGGTGGCCATCACCTTTACCCACTGAACTATCTCACCAGCTAATACAGGTTCTCTATTTGTTCATCTGTCAGTGGACACTTGGGTTCCTTTCATCTCCTGGCCATTATGAATATGCTCCTATGGACATAATTATAAAGAACCTGCTTTCAATTCTGCACATATACCTGGAAGTAGGAGTGTTGGGTCATATGGTAATTCTAATTTTAATTTTTGAGGAACCACCACAATATTGTTTTCCATAGTTGCTGTACCATTTTATACAGTAGTTCACAGAGCTCCAGTTTCCCAGCATCCTCTACTGCACAGATTTGCCAGTTTTTGTTTGTTTTGATAGTAACTATCCCAGTGGGTATGAGGTAATATCTCAGCATACTTTGCATTCCTCTGATGATTAGTGATGTTAGACATTTTCTCATATGTTGACTTGCCATTTGTCTATTGTCTTTGGAGAAATGTCTTAAGTTTTTGCCGGGTTAAAAATCAGGCTATTTTTGTTGATACTGAGTTGTGGGAATTCTTTATTTATTGTGGATAGTACCTCCTTGTCATATGTAGCTTGTAGATACTCTCTTTCATTCTGTAGGTTTTTTCCCTGTTAATTGTGTCATTAGGTGTTTGAGCTTTATGCAATCAGTCTCGTTTGTCTATTTCTGCTTTTTGTCTGTGTTTTCCAAGAAATCATTGGCAAGGATTGTTTTTGAACCGTCCCTACAAGTATTAATATATGATTCAGTTAATTGTCATCTGATCTTGGACAGTTTTAGCATTAAAGTAGTAGGTACTCTAGACAAAGTTACTTGATTTGAAGCCTCACCCTTCACCTTAATCAAATTACAGAGCCTCTCTCTAGTCTTTGGCTTTTTCATCTATTCAGTGGGGACAATGCACTGAGTTCATGGTACTCTGTGAGGATGAAATAAATGAGTTAATATAAAGCATCCAGTCAATGTTGACACCTCTTATTTTATAAGTGCGATGATCTGAGAATCCTTAAACCCTGCCCAAATTTACAGCCTCTCATGTAAACACCTGGAATCATTCCACTAAAAGGTACTGTAAAATATGAAAACACAACATAATTATTGCTCTTAAAGACAGTAGGAAATATGAAGAAACATAAAAGTGAAAGTCTGCAAATGTATTAGAAGGGCAGCATGTAATTATCAAATAAAGTGGTAGGATATAATTGTGGGGTAGTCCAAACAGTTCATGCAAACTTTGTGATATCACCAGGGACAAGTTACTTAGCTTTTCTAAGCTTTAATTCTATGCAGAATGGAGATGTCATCACAGAGTTGATGTGACCTGAAATAAAGCTGTATGCAAACGAACACCTAGAAAAATAATGTTTTACTTAGAATACTCTCAAAAGAATAATTTAAGAATTCAGGAGAGGGATGGAATATTCATTAAAGACCCTGGTAAATATTTTGTGAAGAAGGAAATTGGATCTTTTGGTTAAACTGGAATTTTATTCCTGAATGTCACCAGTTCTAGCCTACTATCACACCAATAACTGGGGAAGTTGGCTGAATGTTCTCTTAGATGTGCCTGTGCTAAGGAAAAGAAAATAACTGCATTTTGATTTCCATTCTTACAGTATGATGAGTGGAAAAGCACAAGATTATATTCTAGTTATAGTCCAGGATTTTTGCCCTCTTAAAATTTTATTCATGTCAAGTAAGAAGGCAGTCTGATTGATAAAATACTTTAATAAATTGGCAAGAGCTTTCCTTGAGGAAAAATTTGATCTTGAAATGAATCTAGGACATTATTGCTTTCCATGTTTTTAGCCGAGAATATTATTTTACAGTGTACTTATTGATTAGCATAGATTTCAAATGCTCATACTGTGAGTTAGATTTGTCTTCATAAACTGTATGTTTATTTAATCAATAGGGTTTGGACTTTGTTAGATGGATGTATCACTGTTTTGAGGTTTTGTTACATTTTTGTTTAAATATTTTAAGTTTTCATAGTAATTGAGGGATAATTTGAAGAGTAGGATTTTTTCTTTCTTTTGAAATAAGATCTTACTATGTAGGCCAGGCTGGCCTGGAACTCACTATGTAGCCCAGGCTGGCCTGGCACTCACAAAGATCTGCTTGCCTCTCTTCTCGGTGCTGGAATTAAAGGCCTGCGCCACCATGCCTGGCAAGTATACATATTTTTTTCAAGAGAAAAACTTTTTTATTCTTTTCAGGAATATGATAACAATTTGAATCAAATTATGGCATACAATCTCAAAAAAGAAACCCATTCTGCATCTGCTGTATCAAATAGATGTTTCCGATAATGTATATGTGTTATTTGCGTAGTAGCAGTTAAACTAATCCTTTTTTTTTCATTGATGAGACATAATGCATTTTTTTCTGCCCTTTCTGCTGTTACTTTATATTTAACACAAAATTGAAAATTCTACCCATTTTATCTCGTAAAAAGTGGTAAAGTTTTTAAACATCATTATGCATCTGGAGTATTATCCAACCTATTTCTTAAGGTAATTCTTTTTCTAATTGACTTAATTAAAATTTACTGATGAGAACAGTTCTATATTCAAAACAGTTATTTCTGTATCATGGTTAAGTGTTAGAAAATGATTTCCAAATTTTGTTTAGAAGCAGCACTATTTCAGATGGTAGATCTGAAGAAAGAATATTGAGTTTGGGTTTGAACCATGATAGTAGTGTGCCTTAGGCATATATCTTAACTTTTTGGAGTCTCAGCTTCCTCATCTATAAAATGAGGGTTTCTTTATTCAACAGGTATTTATTGAATACATAGTTCTCTGTGTCAGTGTTTTAGGTACTAAAGATTCAGTGGGTGATAGTCATTTTTCCATGGCACTCACATTCTCTAGGAGAATTAAATACCTTGTGGGTACAACAATTATTCAACTCCTGACAGTCCATCTCCCCCTTTAAACAAAAATTTTGCGATAGGCTCTCACATATCCTAGGCTGACTTTTGACTCTGTATGTAGCTGAAGATAGCCTTTAATTTCTGGTCCTCCTGGTTCACCTCCCCAGTCCTGAGATTGCAGGTATGCACAACCACACTTGGTTTATGTGGTGCTCAGGATCAAACCCAGGACTTCATGCATGCTAGGTAAATGCTGTACAATGGAGTTACATCCCCAGCCTACCTTACCTTTCTGAGACTCATTTTTATTTACTTATTTTTGTGGGTGTGTCTGTTGGCGGGAGTGCACATGATGTAT